TGCACTAATGCCATAAAGGAGCCTGAGGTGGGTGCTTATATCAGACATACACTACCGGTTAAAAGTTTGAGATCAGTTTTTTTTCCCCATATTTTTTTTTAAAGGAAATTATTCTGTTCATCAAGGCGGCATTTGTTAAATGTAAAAAAAAAATGTTAAGTTGTTAAATGTTTATTAAAATTTTAAATAACAAATGAAATTATTACTCCAGTCATTGTTGCTTTTATTACTATTAGCATTAATAATACAAAAATATTTTACATTAGTTATGAAGATTCATATTAGAGTAATATATTAGAGTTATAAAAATAAATCATTATTAATAAATAATACTTCGGATACGCAGTGGTGCAGTAGGTAGTGCTGTCGCCTCACAGCAAGGTCAGTTGGCGTTTCTGTGTGGAGTTTGCATGTTCTCCATGCGTTCGAGTGGGTTTCCTCCGGGTGTTCCGGTTTCCCCCACAGTCCAAAGACATGCGGTACAGGTGAATTGGGTAGGCTAAATTATCCGTAGTGGATGAGTGTGTGTGTGTGTGTGTGTGTGTGTGTGTGTGTGTGTGTGTGTGTGTGTGTGTTTGTGTGTGTGTGTGTGTGTGTTTGAATGAGTGTGTGTGGATGTTTCCCAGAGACGGGTTGCGGCTGGAAGGGCATCCGCTGCGTAAAAAAACATGCTGGATAAGTTGGCGGTTCATTCCGCTGTGGCAATAAATGCAGCTTTGATGAGCAGGAGAAGCTCATTTTGAAACATTTACAAATCCTATTAACCCAAAACTTTTGTCCGGCAGTGTATTCGTAGATCAGGGTGGAAGTATTTCCATAAAAGTAAAAACAAAAAACACATATACCTTCTTTAAGGATTATCTTAAATTAGGCATAGCAATTCATATCTTTTTCTCAGTTAAACATTATTTATTTCAAAACCAGAAAGTGAAAAAAGAAAATTTCTCACAAAACAATGTTTTATTATTATTATTATTATTATTATTTTGGATTGTGACAATTTTTAAGAAAGGTGGCACTCTGCTAACTTGCCTGTGGTTTTAATGTCAAGGATATCATACAGTCAGAAACTTATACCAGCCCATGCCTACACTGAAAAATAAATATTTATTTGATTTACGAAATGTTTTTAAGGTAAGAGGTTGCAAACAATTATTAAGGGCTGAATTTAAACAAACAAATTAAATTTAGTAATGTTTAGTAAATTGTTTGTTTAAATTCAGCACCCCAAAAAGGTTTGCAACCACTTACCTTAAAAACATTGAGTAAATCCAATGAATGATTTGTTCCAGTGCAGTATGGAGATCCATCAAGGCAGTGCTTGTGAAAAAGGTGGATAGAACCAAAGATTGAGAAAAGCATCTCTTATACTACTGCTACTAATATAGCTGCAAACTCTCTAAGACATAAAGACAAAACGAGCGAAACAAACAAATAACTTAACGGACAGCAGGAAACAGCACTGCAGTGATTGGCAATGGAAAAGTTTTGTTCGGTTTCAGTCAGGTTGAGGAATGTCCAATGAAAAACTGGAGATGTGGGGAAAATGACAGAATAACATACAAAAGGAGTCGACTGATGCAACCATGTCTGTGCGACCTAGCATGACGAGTTCATACAGTTTTTACATGAAGGCAGAGTCTGAATAAATAAGACAAGGATGAAGAGTGAGAGAGGGCCAGCCACCCAGGGCCACAAGCACTCCGGTGTGCAGTCACACAGGCTTCCCAGCATGCACTGTCTGCATGCAAGTGGGAAGCTCAAAAGTGTAGTAAACCAATGGTGAGATGGTATGAGAGACGGTTAGCAGAGGCGTTAATCTGTTCTATGAAAACAGCCCACAGCAGAGCTAACACCATTTCCCTATGTGACAACCAGACAGGCAGGATTACCTGGAGGAAAAGTCCACGTTTATTGACTCTCTCTACTCACAGACCTTGATCTCCATCTTGGTCAACTGCTTGAAGTTCTGACGGCTTCATTTGCTTTCGCTCATCCTCCAGACACACAAACCTTGTCCCTTCACACATCTAAGCTCTTGTTACTCTATGAATATAGCCTTATATGTGTGCACTGCACATTCTTACTAACAAGTGAAAGGAGTGGATTCTAAAGCAACATTTCTCCAGTTTCACCCAACTGTGATCTTTAGACAACTGACTGACACACTGACATCTTTATCACCCATAAGCCCTAGCTGCTCTAATATGTTACCACAGACTTAAGAGATTTTTTTAAATGATCTAATAGTTGCTTATTTAAAGATTGGTTTAAAGCTGAAGCATTGACTGTCTATCAGGTTTAGTTTTTAAACAGATAAGAAATGAATTCATGTGCAAATGGTTTTAGTGTCTATTTTTATTATTAAAATTGTGTTCATGTAATTTCTGAAATGTTATAGTGTCAACAAGATTGATAGGATATAGAAACAGATAACATGCTACTCAACCATTTTGGTTGAAATCCCTCAGTGCTCTGCATAATATTGAAATGGCCCCATAGAGAATCAGCTATTTCTTTATATCTTGACTTTCTGATTTGTAAATCCAAAGAAAACAACTTTCGGATTCAGTATTTGTACAGAATTAATGTTAATTAATTAATATTAACTGTGTAAAACATATTCTGGATAAGTTGGCAGTTCATTCCGCTGTGGCAACCCCTAATAAATAAAGGGACTAAAGCAAAGGAAAAGACTGATATAAATATAAATAAATGAACAATACTGTATGAATGAATGAATAATACTATATTATTATTGGCTAAAATTTAAAAAGCCACATACACTAAAATAAAATATATGTTCATGCAGTCATTTTCTTTTCAGCTTAGTCCCTTTATTAATCTGGAGTCGCCACAGCGGAATGAACAGCGTTTGTTTTACATGCCCTTCCAGCCGTAACCCATCACTGGGAAACACCCATGCACACTCATACACTACAGTCAATTTTAGCATACCCAATTCTCCTTCCATGTTTTTAGAGTTGTGGGGGAAATTGGAGCACCCAGAGAAAATGTTTATGTTAACACTCTAAAAAGCTCTGTTACCACTACATAGTTTAATACATTATTGTAACTTAAAAACTCTAAAATGGAAGGGCATCCGCTGCTGATTAGATTAAAACTTTTAAGTTGCCAGAATAATTTTATTAAGTTTTCAAAACAGATTTTAACTTAACTATTGGGGTAAATAAATATCTCAACTTTTTTAGAGTGTAATTAAATTTTTTGTAATTTTTGTAAAACAATGAAAACCTGTGGTTTAATACAAATAAAAAAAAAAATGCCGGAAAACAAAAATGCTGTTGTTAAATGTATTTCTAACAAGCATGAACAGTAAATTTGAAAAACAAACAAAAAATTTATTTTTGAATTTGAAAATTTTAATTTCAGCTACTTAGTTTATTTGAGGTTCTAAACTTGAAAACATGCAATTACACACTGGATTTGTTTTCTATTTTAAATATTTATGTGTATGTAACATGTTATATGTTTTAGATATAATTAATAAAACCAACAACAATTAGCATATTAAGATTCAAATGTAATAATAACTTGTTCATAATTATTTGTATAACTTGATTTAAAAAAATATTTACACATAGGATTTTATAACTTTGTGACATTTATTTATTCATATTTCTGTAAATAAGCCACTAATTTGTCAACATGTAAAATAATTACATTTGATGGTTGGTTATATTTAAAAAATAAAATGGAATTACAGTGCATCTGCAAAGTATTCATTTTCCACATTTTTTTAAGTTACAGTTGTATCCCAAAAGGGACTAAATTCATTTTTTCCTCAAAATTCTACACACAATACCAAATAATGACAATGTGAATTTTTTTTTTTTTTAAATTGTTGCGAATTTATTAAAAATAAAAAACCTGAAAAATCACATGTACTTAAGTATTAACAGCCTTTGCTCAATACTTTGTTGATGCACCTTTGGCAGCAATTACAGCCTTGAGTCTTTTTGAATATGATGACACAAGCTTGGCACACCTGTCTTTGGGAATTTTTGCCCATTCCTCTTTGCAGTACCTCTCAAGCTATATCAGGTTGGATGGGAAGCGACGGTGTATAGCCATTTTCAGATTTCTCCAGAGATATTCAATAAGATTTAGATCTGGGCCACTCAAGGACATTCACCGAGTTGTTGTAAAGCCACTCCATTGATTTGAAACAATTTTAATTTTTTTTTTACATTGTCATCATGCGGTATTGTATGTAGAATTTTGAGAATTTGATTAATTTTGGAATAAGGCTGTAACATCAAAAATTGTTAAAAAAAGAAAAAAAAGTGAAGCGCTAAGAATACCTCCCGGATGCACTGTATATTTATGAATTAAACACTTAAGTTTAGTTATTTGATTTTAAACAATTAAATAAGCAACTGTGGCCTCCTCAGATGCCAAGACCTCCCAACGGTTAAGAACCACTAACCAAATCTAAAAAGCAAAGCAGCTTCTTAGTGAATTTAATAATAAAATGAGGATGAATATTTGCTTAAGTAAACAAAGGTTTCTCAGCCTTTAATGTATATGCTATCATAAGAAAGAAAACCCAAAATAATATCAAAACTCAATAACAGTATCACTTTTTCTTATCTAAACATACTAAATCTATGTGTACTCTCCTCCCATTCAAACAAATGTGCTAAAAAGCCATACCACATGATTAGTTTGATCACATTTCTTTTATTTGATGGATCTAATATACAAGTGCAATGGTGTTCTCAACAACCATCCAAAAAGCAATCAAGCCAGCACAAAAGAGAGAAGTTAAATGGTGGCTACATTCTCGTCAACTATTCCTAAATCTATACTATAGAGTGAACAACTCAAAACTGTAGTGATCTGTCAAACAACACAACAGACACTCATCTTCATCTTCTCTGCTTTCCTCTCACATGCTTTGACTTTCCTCTTACTTCAGTACTGCAGTCTGTCTATGCCACCTTTCTAAACTTTCTCTATATGTCGGGGTGCTTTACTGAGGCACGTTGAGTATTTGTGCCGACAGGCCATTGTGCCAGTTTTTCAGTTTAGCAAAACGGGGGCCTTTGGCTTCAGATTCAAATCTTTCCCTGTGACACCAAAACATCATATATAGGACAACAGGGGAAGGAAAAAGAGAGAAAAGAAAGGGTGGAAAACAGGGTTAGGGTATATTGCCTTTTCTTTCCTGTCCATTAAATACACAGTTAATACATGTGTGAGTGTTTTAAAATGTTTGTGACTGCCTTAAAGAAATAGTTTAACAAGCAATTACCATGTTTACTTTGACCTTCAGATCATCCAAGATGCAGGACTATATTATTTTGTAGAAGATTAAAGAAGATCTTAAGATTAAAACTGTGGTTATTTTCAGTCATTCATTCATTTTCTTGTCGGCTTAGTCCCTTTATTAATCCGGGGTCGCCACAGCGGAATGAACCGCCAACTTATCCAGCACGTTTTTACGCAGCGGATGCCCTTCCAGCCGCAACCCATCTCTGGGAAACATCAACACACACACACACACATTCACACACATACTCATAAACTACGGACAATTTAGCCTACCCAATTCACCTGTACCGCATGTCTTTGGACTGTGGGGGAAACCGGAGCACCCGGAGGAAACCCACGCGAAAGCAGGGAGAACATGCAAACTAGAGATGCGCGGATGGCGGTTACAGCCGCGGAATCCGCGGTTTGGCGGATGACGTGACGAAAAATAATATTTTTATTTAATTCGGGCGGGTGGTGGGCGGTTGTACTGTTTTGTACACATAGCTGGCGCACCAACGAAAAAGCCTAGGACTGACTTCACAGAATGAGAGGAGGAATCGGATACACTAATTCTGAATGAAGTACAGAAGTCTTCCTCTACAAAATTAAGTATAGACAGATCAGCAGAGGAAAATCTACTTTCCTTTTGGGAGAAACAAGGCAGTCATTCCCACGTCTACAGCACCTTGCCAAGAGAATTCTATGCATTCCTGCAACAAGTGCTGCGAGCGAGCGCTCCTTCAGTGCAGCAGGGCGCATTAGAGGCCAGGCGCTCTCGTCTGAATGTTGAAATGATGTATCAAAATGCGTTTTCTATTAGGCTACAATAATAAAAAAAATTGTACAGTACAGTGCGTTTCATTTAGGCTATTTTTTTATTTATTTTTGTACCCGTGCACCGATTGGAGACGGAGTTCACTGCTGATATTCTGAGAGCTTTATAGGGTGCTTCTCATTTCTTATTTGTGTATCCTCGTTTCCTTTCCTTGCTTTCTTTCCTCATCTTTCCACCCCTATAGGATGCGAGGGAAGGACGCAAAAAAAAAAAACTCAAGGAACGAGGAATCGAATCAAGTGAAAAGACACGTCCTCGTATTGTTTAGCGTCACTTCAAAGCGTCAATTAATGCTGGATTTGACTTGCACGTTTGGATTAACTGCATGTCATTAAAGTCATTCTCTATTTTCTAATAATCAATAAAGAAACATTCATTTAATAATAAAAAGGAATAAGCCATTCAAATAAAGAGCTCAGTCAGCAGATGGCGGGCGGGTGCGGTTTTAAAAATTGGTCAAAAATGTTAGTGCGGATGGATGGCGGACGGATGATTAGTTTTATGATGCGGTTGCGGATGAAATAATAGCCCATCCGCGCATCTCTAATGCAAACTCCACACAGAAACGCCAACTGAGTTGAGGTTCGAACAGAGACCTTCTTGCTGTGAGGCGAATGCACTACCTACTACGCCACTGCTTCGCCCCTGTGGTTATTTTATATTAATTAAATGCAAATAATTGACTACTACTCTACTACAAACAATAAAGGTAATAATGCTGTAAACAATTATTTTTGCATAGAATTATATTGGTAAGTTGCCACATGCATTTATTTTGTTTTGCCTGTATATGTTTGTTTTTTCTATCAAGAAAAAAATGTCAGTAGCCATTGACATTAATTTTACAATTTCAGCTATAAAAATGTTATTCTAGAAAAGAAAAATGTAATCTACATCATGGATTGCATGAAGGAGTAAAGTGATAATATTAAATTTTCATTTTTAAGTTCAAGTGTTAAACTATCTCTTTGAGGCACTGTAAATGTAAACACACACATTTGCACATACCAACTTAATCTCCTCTTCATAAAAATGCATTGTACCAGATGTGTAATGAAAGTGTGCATTATTGCTAAATATTTATAAAATATGGTGAAATACTACAGAGCAGGGGTGTAAGGTATTTGAGTAACTGCACTTCAATAAGGTACAGTATTATTATTAGGAATTTCTACTTTTACTTAATAAAAAACAAGAGAAAAAAGCATTTTATTTTCGTACAAAAGGTGTGTATTGCAAAATGCTGAATTGTAAGTGCAAACAGGATACTCAAATATTAAATTTGTTGTTTAAATATTTTTAATTTTGGCCTCCTTGATGAATAAACTTGAAAAATGTTACATTATTTTGTCGCAAAAAAGCATGTGGACTTCTCTTCTAGGTAAATGGGTTTATGTTATACTATTTTTATATCAAATTTGATAGATATGTTTGCAAAAACAGGTATAGCAGTTTAGAAAAATCTAAGAAAAATGCTAACATTCAGATATACAACTATAAACTATTTGAACACTGTATGAATACTTTAAAATATTAATTTACAAAAAATGCAGTTTCATTCTTTTTTTACACAACTACTCTGAATGCATTCACATGTACTAGACTGATGCATCTAATGTGTGTAACTCAAGCACACGGAGTGAGATCCGATAAAGGGGGTTTGACTGGGAGATCTGATCATATGTCAGCTTTTCCATCAGCCTTTCTCAGTTTAAGAGGACTTCAGCACCACTCAAATATGTGGCCACCAGATGCTGCTGCTGGATGCCTACCTTGACTTTCTCAGAGCTTCCTCATCAGGGTCTTGCACTGCAATAAAGAAAAGAAGAGAAGAGAATGTCAGATTCTTCACTCTGAATTAAAATCAACATCAAGCTAAAAGAAATTGACAGTCAGACTCACTGTATTCAGTTCCAGTAATGTGGGCGAGGACGCGGAAGGACTTGGACTGCAGCTGGGCGGCTCTTCTGGCCCAATCAGCGGGCCCAAGTTGATCGATTTCACTGGGGATGACAGCCTGATACACTGGGGAAGCACTGTCTATAACACGTTCTTTAACTGGCAGATTACTGCAACCACAGAAAGAGTCGGTCTTGTGAAATACACACTTTCTTTTCAAGCATGACAGGGGAATGTTAGGCAAAGTAGTCACTTTAAGTTATGAATGGGATGCAAATGACTATTTTTCACCAACTTATTGTGTAATAATGCATAGCAGATTGTTTGTAATACAGATTTTTCAAAATATAATGATTGAATATGCAGCATACTTCATATTGTACATGTGCTAATAAACAGAAAAGCAAGGGCATTGAGGCCAGAAGCTTGCTTATTACTACTGAATGCACTGTGACAGGATATTTTAAACCAATTATATCTCTTACCCAGAAGAATGACAGAACAGAGCATTCAGAAAGCGCTTTGTTGACATCTAAAGTCAACCACTCAGATTGTCCATTTTCAGATCAGCAGACCCTCCTTCTGTAAACCTCACTATTTAAACACGTTTCCACCAAATACTGTCAAAGTGATCTATCTGCAAGATTAAGAGCTTCAGAAGAGGCATTTAAAACAAAGACATGAGAACTGTCCAGTAGTATGAGGTCATCTTTGCATTCAGTTAAATAGAAAAAGGAAAACAAAAATCCAACCATTTCAAAAGTCTCTGCTCATGAAAACCAGGTGCATTTGTAAATTCCAGATGCGTATCAAAGGGAGGTTAGAGGATGAGATGAGAGGGAAGTGGATAATGTGGTGATCAGGCATGCAATGCGCAAGGGATGAGACGAAAAGAGAGTGCTCATATCAAACAGATGGATCAGGCTACTTACGATAGCTGTGAGTCAGTTTCATTGCTGCCAGGCAGAGCCATTGAGATTGGACGCAGGTAGAGCGGGGACAGGGTATGGGATGGATGGACGGATGAAGCGATGAATAGTTGGGAATGGAGCGAGAGAGGGAAAATTAGAGAAAGCTTCTATGTTATGCGTTTGAGAGTGGCTTCTGATAAAAGACCGAAAGCCTAATCTCTCATTTTCAAAGCAGAATACTGACACCAGAAACATGGAAGTATGTAGATCACTGATAAAACATATTCCAAGTGGACACTGATGTGGAAAAAAGTAGGCACATACACAACTCCCATTAGTACAGATTTTCAAACATACTATAAAAACATATACGCTACTGTTCAAAAGCATTTGGTCAATAAGAATTTGTAATTTATTTAAAGGATTGTATTAAATAATTCTTTTTTTTTTAAAGACTCAAAAGCTGCATGCAGTTGATCAAAAATGCAGTTAAAATTCCACAGCCATTATTCCTACAATATAATCTACAATATCATTCTTTAGAAATCATTTAAATATGCTGATTTGGTGCCCAAGAAACAGTTTATTGAAAACAGCTGTGCTGCTCAGTTTTATGGCAAGTGTGCTACACTTGTGCTTTTATTTTGATAAATATAAAGTTTAAATAAACAGCAATTATTTTAAAAAGAGAAATCTCATTATGATTTAAAGGTCTTTGTTAGCTTGATTGTTAACATTTAATAGTAATCTTAAATTATTACAGTACAACTGGATTATGAGAACATTTATCACTCCAGTCAGGTTAAATAAAATCAAGTACCCCAAACACATTCATCAAATGTTCAGTTGAAAAAGTTACACTTTTGAACTGTATGTGGGATTGCCAAAAGGAATTTTGGAAAGAGGTGGCTATGTTCATTTTTGAAATGGTATCTATAAACCTGCCCATGAAACTGTAAATGTTTATTTTGGGAATTACTTGTGAAAATATTGATTGTCACAGCAGTACTAGTAAACTTATCGATATAAGTATACTCCAAGCACAGTGTCTTATAGCTTTGTACTAGAGGAATATGGAAAGGCCCTATATTGTACAGTGGATCAATATTATGTGCTTCTGTTTAGCTATGGAAAAGATTTCAAACATGTTAAAAGGCAAGCTTATTGTTTTGGGGAAAATGTATAGATACTGTTCAATTCAAATTCAAATTCAAATTTCAGCAATTTGCCTACTAAATGAAACAGGAAAAGAATAAATAAACTGACACTAACTTACAATATTAACATATTCCTCCTATTTCCAAAGACTTATTTTAACAAACCATTGTCATATTAATGGTTTGGTGCATGCTTTCCACAGATGATTTGTATTTTCAACAATTTCTCCTAGTTTTTTTTTTCTTCTAGTTTTTTTCTAGAATAATCTCTACCTAATTTAAACAATGTGTCCCCCCCCCCCCTTTCCTTTTTATTTAATTTCTTTTTTATCCCTTTTTTAGTTTTGTATGTTTTTATTATTGTTCTTGTTTTTTCCTCTTAATTGAAAACAAGGATGTAAATATGATTGTGGTGTTATTTTTAATACATCTCAATAAAAAGATTGTTAAAGAAAGTCTTAAATGCCATATTTGATCAACTAAATGCATCCATGATGAATATGAACATTGTTTTTTGTCTTAAAGTCTTACAAATGACCCAAAACAATTGAACAGCACTTTATCCATTTACCCTGCCTTATACTGTGCAACCGAGGATCCCTATCATCCAATAATACAACTAGCTCCACAAAAAGTAAACATACCTTATGCTAACATCAAAAAAACTTCCTTCTGCTTCTATACAGAGACATGTTCACATCATACGATATACATCACCATTAAATCAACTATATTAAATTGACATCATCTCCAAACTATCAGACATCCTTGGGAAGTCTTTAGCCTGTTGAGCATTAGCATTAGCTTGGCCCAGTCAAGCGTGGCATTAAGGCAAACGTGTGTCATGCAGGTGATGGGAGAAGAAAGGAGGTGCATCGGGTCTTACCCGGACATTTCGCTACCCCTGGCCTGGGACTGACCAGCGATGGCATCCATTATAGCATCCTGGGAGTACATGCTGATGGGGGTGTTGTACTGGGCATGGATGATGGTGGCCTTTCCTCCAGGCCCCTTCACCTCGATGGGCTTGTTGGTGGAGAGGGCAGTGTCCTTCAGTGCTATAGGGTTGAAGCTGGGCAGGAACTCATTGCTGTGCAAGTGAGGGAGTGATGATAAGGGATAGATATGTGTAAAACAAAAACAAGAGAGATCAAATGGAGGTCAGTGCAAGAGAGTGAGTGGAAAGTGAACAGGGAAAAGTGAAAGGTAAGAAACCAGTTGATGATACCAGCATACTGTATGTCTCGATGCTGGCATTTCAACAAAGCTTCTTGAATTCAATTAGCTGCCAGAAAAATCATGCTGGACAATCAGTTCTGCTAGCTAGCAGCATGTTTATATTAGACCAGTCTTGACCAGCATGGAAATTCATGACAGAAGGCAAGACAAAATGAGTAAAAATGTATGATGGTAATTAAAGACAAACATATAAATTAAAGGCTTAGCAAAAACAATGCTTCAAAAACACATTTACACCGCAAAACATTACTACTGCACGCTATAGCAGGAAGTGCAACATAACATAAGCATGGATGGGAATCTGAAAAAATGTAACAAATCTGGTTTTGATTCTTGAGCTGTGTTCACCCTGAGTTTAAATCTGATTATTTGTGTATCTGATTTATTTTTCTGTAAATAATTACATCATAACTGTGTTTCTCCACTCTTGTGTCCCGTCGCATTCTTTCGTTCATAGCAATGCTATTATGTTGGCATGCATAAAAACAGCAGCGACAGGGTTTCCAATACAGATGTTGTCTTGACAATGTGCGTCATTGCTCTTTATCAATATTATGCCAATGATGTAAGGCACCAACAGTAGGGGTGTCAGAATGAATTGTTTCTACGGTGCACCGCGATGCAGATGGGGACAATTCCATATCGGTTCAGTAATAGATCATAACCGGTTATTACGTACTGACGTCATTTATCGCCTATGCACGATGTCGCAGTAGAATACTATGGCGAAGGAGGGATGAGTAAATAAAATGCTCTTACTACTTAAAAGGTAGATGATTATGCACAGTTTAACAGCTTGTGAATTTGCTGGAAAGTCTTTTGTTGACACCGAAGAAGGAACAGCACACGAGCCGCTATTTAGAGAGAGATGCCGTAAAACTCCATCTCTCTCTCACACACACTTTGGACATTTGATCCGCTGTGTTGGCCTGTTTGGGAGGTAACTTTTCTTCTCCTCTCGGCTGTTAAAGTGATAATTGTGGATCCAGACACGAGCGTGCATGAGTTGTCAGTTTTGTCCACTGTGTCTATTACGGATTACCTGTGATTGGAGTTTTCTTTGAAACATTCAAAAAGAGTGTTTTCTTTGAGCAGATCAAATAAAATATACAGTTCATATATATTACTGCTTGTATTATGATATTGTATTACAAATAATATACAAATATTAGTATATTTAAAGATTTTGATTTAAAAAAATTATTGTGTTGAAGAAAAAATCTAATTGTTTATAGAAAGCATTGTCAATGCACCGTGATGCACCGAGATATCGAATTGAAGCGAATCGATGGCATGATAATCGTCACCGAACCGAACTGTGAGACCAGTGTAGGTTCACACCCCTAACCAACAGTTACTTGCATGGGTTAATTCAATGTTGCAATCTTCACCATTCACAAAAATTAAATTGTAAGTTTTGCGTTTTTAATAAATTGGAAAAAACATTCAGCATTTTGTCTACAAACAGCTTCTCATGTGTACTGTAGCATATGCAACAAAGCTGTGCACAACCCAATCTAAAAAAAAAAAGTATTTAAAATGGATTGCAAACCACATATAATTGCAGTTTGAAATTAAGTTGTAAAAGCTGTATTCTATCTGTAAATCCATCAATTTCACCATGGTGTGAATTCAGCATAAGAACCAATTTTTGATTCCCAACCCAAACACTAAAAACATTGTCACAAACGAAATTACGACAAACACATTCTCTACACTAAGCAAAGCAAACCTCTATCCTCCTGAAACACACTCACACACAACATCACAGTGCTAGGTTCCTCATAAATACATATACCCAAGCAGTACGTTTATATATACCCAGCACAGATTCTGTTTCACTGTGTTGTAGTATAGGTTTACATTAAGCATTAGTGGACCATTAAAGCAAGCTCTGTTTGCACAGGAAGACAAATCTCACTAACCACACTTTATTGTTGATAAGACACCACAAAGGCAGTTCCAAACAATTCCATGCATGTATACCACACAGAGCACTACAATGCTATGCCAGGAGGCTGTTACTAACTTGGCAGGAGCGTGGGTAATAACCTACAAGGGGCAAAAGGAAAAAGAAACAAGTGCATTGGTTAGCAACTCATTTTAAGTTTAACAGTGAAGCATTGTGCTGATGAATGCTTCTCAATGTGTGGAATCTTATAAGATGTATTCTAAAGGTGACAGTACTGAGAGCCAAACTGTAAAATAATTAGTTGACAAACATTTCCCATTTTCCCCAGGTTATCCACTCTGACTCTGACTAGATTGGTGCAAAACAGCAACAATGTAGGACCTATAAACATATTCCACAGTGGTTTGCATGTGAAACGTACGGTTAAGGTAATACAACACTAATAACTTTTGTCCCTTTCACTCAAATTTGATGAGAGATTATTATACAATGTTTTGATCTCAAAATACTCCAACTATAGTATGTCATGTAAATATCCATCTTGATAATTCATTTATGAACTTATACGATGCTCAGCATAATTGAGTACACCACGTATTGAAAATTAATATTTTTCTTCATTTCTCAGTGAATATAGGCAATGTATTTTGGTGCATTTAAACAAAGAGGTTTATTAAACAGATATATTTATTATAACAATATTTTAGTCACCAAACATATTTAGAAATTAAAAGATAATACAATTAAATTCAAGCTAAATATTACAAAAAATAAAAAAATTAAATTACAATCTACAAAATTGTAACATTTTTTGCTTCTCTTGATTCTTCCTTTTTTTCCAATTTGAATTTAATATTTTTCTAGAACATATTAATTTGGGTGTACTAGTTTTTGGACTGTTATTATAAGTTATTTTGTTACATAAGCTCCAGATTTGGCTTCTGACTAATCTAATGCACAAATATAATATTGTATAGCTTCCTATTAAAAATATGAATTTAAAAAATAGATTTTTGAGGGGTGAACTTATATACAGTATGCTGAGCACTGTAACTGTTATGAGAAACAATGTGTTTCACTTTGCAGAAATATAGAGGAAGTCATGCATTTACATTTAATAAGCCTGGGATTCCATTGATTTAGTTAAAGTTTCCCCTTTTGGCATACTCAAATATGTCAGTTCTACTTGTAGAACAGAAATTACACAGTTCACACATATTTCAGATTGATAGTTCAGCCAAAAATTAATTATACACACTCTAAACATTTTTCAAATCTATACAAGTTTAAGTTTTAGTCTTAAGCTGAACACAATAGAAAGAAAATTAGAGAAATGTTGGTAACACAAACAGTTGATCAAATTCACAGACTTCCATTAAATGTCTGAAGGCCAAGATTTTGCAAAGTACCATTTTTATAGTTTATCACAATAAAACAACAACTTGAGGATTAGAAAACAATGACAGCTTTATGTTTTTAATGAACATTTTAGAATCTCTTTAAGAAGTAAAACCATTCTTCAGTTTGAGTGTGTGTATGTGTGTTTGCCAGACTAAAAACAACATATTTGTGCTCACACAATAGTGAATCATTTTCAAAAGGACAAACAAATAAATCATTGAAAAAGAAAAATGGGTTTTAATGTGAGAGCCTCCTTGCAAAGATGTGTAAGGAGGGAGTGAGGGGGATGCAGTATCGGTGAAGTTAAGAAACTGAACCCTGACATTCCATAGCCTTTTATAGCGAGCGCTGCAACAGGTGCTCCCTGACCAGTCTCTATAGTGACTGTGTAACTGTATCACTCCACAGCCTGAGATTTCCTCTGTGCTGTGACACACGCCGAGACCCTTTTTGACTCGTATGAGGAAGAGAGTAAACGGAGAGGGGTACAGGACAATGTCATCCATTCCCCTAATCCACTACAGTACAGCCAAAGTGCATTGCTTTGAGGTTACAAGGTGGAACTGAAACGGTCAAACTGGGAAAGTGATATACAGTGCTTTTAATGTCTCAAAATGACGGCTTGCAGAGTTTTTTTTTTTTTTTTTTTTTTAGAGAAACAATAAAGCAAAAAGACTACTGCTCAAAACAATGAGATCTAGAAGTCTGTTCTTTAAAGATGTCTTTTTATACCCGCATTTGCAAAGCAAAACATTTATTACTTCAGCCTTTAGTGTCACGATCCTTCAGAAATCTTTCTAAGATGCTGATTAGCTTATTAAGAAATACTTAAGTTGAGAAAAAAATCTTTCAGTATTTTTATGGTAAATGTTTTTATAAATGATTATATGACATTTCTGGCTAATGCATAGTTTTGCTACTGAATATTCCAGTAGCTTTAATATTTAATATTTGTATTTACAATCATTAATTTGGCAGACACTTTTATCCACACGACTTGTAAATGAAGACACCGAAAGAAAGTGTCTTGGAATGTCAGAGTAGAATTCTGTTAGAAGAGGGAAAAGATGATAAAAAAACAATATCTTAAAGAAGCAGAGCAACATTATTATGTAAAAAAGAAAGAATAGAAAATAGACAGAAAAAGATGTTACCTAGAAACTGTCAAAGACATGAATGTTTAAAAGAACATCATTTATTTGAAACACAAAGCTTTTGCAGCATTATTAATCCCTTTACTTTTAATCAATTTAATTTATGCTCTCTGAACATAATTTGTATTTTCTTTCAAAAGAAACATGTCTTATTGACCTCAAACTACTGAATAAAGCTTTAAAATCCATTCTTACAGCTAACTTTTCACTTTGAGTCCTCTGGTGGACGCATCATCTCCTATACCCCGATCATTGTACCTGAAGGAGGGCCACTGAAGGGAAAACTGAAGCGTCAGCTCAAATTTGTCTTGTGCATTCATTCAGAGGCTTGAAGCCTTAACTAGATCTCTCTCTCTCTTGTCTGCAGTGGGGAGTGGAGTCAATGTAACAGATGTAACCTGTCTTTTCTGAATGCTGCATGACCGCTGCCATTCTTCTGTCAAAGAGCAAAATTAGCAACCAGGTGGGCCTGAGTTATAACCACAACAGTGATTGTGCCTAATGGTAATGCTTTAGATATTACAACCTGCAATTTACATGGCCAGTACACCTGAAAGTACAGCATTCTTTTTGTAAAAATAAGCTATATTTATTAATGTCACATAAATGATATATTTACCATTTGCCTAACCCTACAAACATTATGCAATAATTGCAATAATTATGGAGAAAATTCTATTTGCAAATTTCAATTTGCCTAGCCTTTTCAAATTTTGTTTATAGCATTATAGTAACGAGAGGGAGAATGTTGAATTTATTGCCATATCAGTCTCCCTAGCTATTTCATGGCAAAACCAGATCATTTTATAAATATAACTTTTCTAAAAACAATTATAACAGTAAAAAACACAATCTGAAATTAATACTACATAAGCTAAAAGTCTAAAACTTGTCTAAGGTTTACTTTTAATACAAATTCTGGCATTTTGAAGGATTCACATTTAAAAATGTTTCCTATAAAATCTTTTTAGATCTCTCCAACCATCCAAAATCATTGTCTGATAACATTATTTTGAAAAAGTATAGTAGACCTATATAGCGCTGAGGTATTTTGTATTGTGATTTGTGCTGAAAAGTCATAAGGTGGGTTTCAGCAACGCTGCACATTAATGGCAAGCAGCATAATAATGCAAATTCTGAAATAAATCATAATGGTCTGTAAATTAAAGTGGTGCCTATTACCTCCTTCTTTCCCCAAAGCTTTTACTATTATTTTAATACTATTATATCTCCTTATATTTACATGTATGTTCCCTTTAGGTGCACTATTATTACAAAACAAAAACTGTATCTGTACATTCATTAAACATTCTAAATTCAGTAAACTTGCTCTGTGATTTGCAGGCTGTAATCTACAGCATTACCTGTTTAATTAATTTAGCAATTATCAAATTTTTTCTCATAGAATTGGTTATGTTTAACCGCACATGGCTGCTAGTGTCAAGTTTCGCTCTATGTCTGATTACATACCCGCTAGTCATGCCTGACCCCGAGCCCTTTGCTCTTTCCTGCAACATGGCCATTTCTCTCAGTGTCTCAGCAGAGTACAGGCCGATGGGGGAGTTATACTGCTGGCTTTTCTGTCTGGAGCTGGATTTGTCCCTCGGAGCAGCTAAATGCCCCTGAGCAGGCACAGAAGTCTCTCCGCTACTGCTCAGCACAGAGCTATAGGATGGGCTGGTGTTTTTGCATGAGTTTGTCTCAGCAGAAGATGAGAGAGCCCCATTTATTTGCACAGGATGATCCTTAAAAAAGAGGTGTATGTGTGTGTGGAGAAAAGTATTGAGAAAGAAAGCAGCGAGAAGGAGAGGAAAGCTGAGAATGAGAATGGAAAATAACATCCAGGACATTTTGTAGAAATATATATATATATACATATATATATATATATATATATATGCTGTCTTTCTTTTCTTTTTCATTCCTTTAAAACCTGTTTTAACACATTTTAATCTATTTTTATCAGTTTCTAATAATTTTTATTTTTTCTAGTTTTTATTTTCTTATACTTTCTTATATACTTTTCTTATATATTTCTTTTATTCCTGTTTATGTAAAGCACTTTGAATTACCATAGTGTATGAAATGTGCTATATAAATAAACTTGTCTTGCCTAAATAAACTTCAGAAAATTTCAGAAAACAAACTTTCTAAATTACTTTATAACATTTTATTTAGACTTGTTCTCAAAAACCTGCCTTTGTTTACTATAAAACTACTATAAAAACTGTTATACTTAAAAATATTACACAAATTTTTAAATAAATAAATAAAAAAAATTAATAAAATACTTATATTTATAAAATAATGTAAAATGTAAGTCACTACAAGTCTTCAGTATCACATGACCCTTCAGATCCAATCAAGTTTATTTATTAGCTATTTAATATTTGGGAAATTTTTGATCTAACTTTTTTGATGAACAGGAATGAATACTATACAAAAGTATTTCTTAAAATACTGATCCCAAATGTTTGAATGCAAGTGAACATACAAGTCAAGATTCTTAAACAGAAGTTTTATAATTAAAAGCATGGCTCCTTTGAGTTTCTAAAATTGCGTTTGCAATTCAATGCCAAACTATACAATTACGCGGTGCAAAGTGAAGAACAGCAGGGGGCGACATAAGGCTTTTTATGATTGCAGAACATAAAGAATATCCGAAAGGCATTTGCAGCTATCATTTTAGCCTCTTAAAAATCATTACCATAATCCTGTAAAAGAAAAAAAGTCCCTTTCAACTGCAGATTTCAACTAAAGCTTGTTTTGAGGCTTAAATAATACTATTTGAATGTAAATGTGGAGTGCTTGATTTAAAACATCTGAATGCATGGACATACAGTAACAGTCGCAGAATACAGGTATGCATAATTATTGACAGACCTTCTGATGAGGAATCACAGGCATCGGAGATTCAATTCTTGGTGTGGCAATTGGAACTGGGGTGGGTCGCTTTGACCTGTTGTAAAATAAGCAAATTAATATTTGAACAGCGTCTGGATCACAAAATGACTAAATCGCAGCCATGTACAAATATTTTCAGCATTTCTGGTCTCACAACTTTTGTTTGAGATTGGACACAGGTATAACAACAACAATAATGAATCCCATCCACAACAGAAGCAGTTTTTGTTGGAGCCATCTGAAAAATGCTTTTGTCCACAAAGGCTTTGTGGCAAATTGAAGCTTTTCAGAAAAAAAAGCTGTACTTGTACACAAAGGGGTAAAGCAAACTAACTTTATAACATGCATAGTTTGAAAATTTGTGAATAAAAGAGTAGCACAAAAACAATTGATGGTGTTTTCTTGCACAAATAAGGAATGTCCTTGAAATATCACAGTGATAAAAGTGATAACATTTTATTTTTACTGTTTCATCCAATCTTTCACTACATGTCCAACAATGCTTGTAGAGGGAACTCTGGGATCAATTAGGAGTGTTAAAGTAAGGAAGATGGGCCGGTGTAATCCCTGCAGGTATGCACTGAGAGGGGAAATAAAGGTGAACATGCCTTTTTTGGGTTTTGCTCATGTTGTGAACTAACAGTAAACCTGACTTAAGCACTAAGACACATCAGAATTGAGATCAGGAATGTTTTTAGAAAGTTCCTCAGATCTCACGGTTGACTGGTGCAGAAACAGTTCATGAGGGAGAAGCTTCACTAACTCGATCTGGATCAAAAACATCTCAAATAAAAAGGAATGTTTAAATAAATGGCATGATAACTGTAATGTCAAGCCACTTTGTTGATTCATTGATCACAGTTATCCATAAGGGAGCCAACGCAACCTAAATACAATTATGAGCCAATTATATATGTAACAATTCATATACAGTTGAAGTCAGAATTATGTGCCTCCATGTTTATTTTTTCCCCAATTTCTGTTTAATGGAGAGAAGATTTTTTAACTAATTTCTAAACATAATTTTTTTAATAACTCATTTCTAATAACTGATTTATTTTATCTTTGCCATGATGACAGTAAATAATATAGGTATTTTTCAAGACACTACTATACAGCTTAAAGTGACATTTAAAGGCTTAACTAGGTTAATTAGGTTAAATAGGCTGGTTAGGGTAATTAGGCAAGTTATTGTCTAACGATGGTTTGTTCTGTAGACTCGAAAAAAAAATAGCTTAAAGGGGCTAATAATATGACCTTAAAATAGATTAAAACTGCTTTTATTCTAGCTGAAATAAAACAAATAAAGCTTTCTCCAGAATTAAAAATATGATCATATATTGTACTCATTGTAAAAATCCCCTTGCTTTGTTAAACATAATTTGGGAAATATTTGAAAAAGAAAAGAAAATTCAAAAGCGGGGGTAATAATTTCATCTTTAACTGTATATATTTTTTTTGCTGAGGTTAGATGTTACTCACATATAGAACTGCTTAACATGATCTTTCTAATGTGGTCCATTATGGGTATTGTCTAAACCAGGAATGGCCAAACTTTTTCATAAAGGGCCAAAAACCAAATATTATTGAGAGCCGTGAGCCGAAGTAAATATACCAAAACAATATTAAAGTTGTCATGGGTCATTTCCTAATTTATTAAAAACATTAATTAAATCGTATTAACTAATGCAGTATAATGTTTGAAACGATAACTTATGCAATAAAAGCATAAACAATCACATATATAAGAAAGTGGAGTTGAATACATTTTTCGTCTCTTCTCAGATGGGACAAAGAGCCAAGTCAAAGGTTACCATGGACCAACTTTAGCCAGCGGGCCCAAGTTTGTGCATCTCTGGTCTTAACAGTCAAAGCAATGCACTGACTGTTCATCATAACACCATGATAATTCATAAAACATTGTTTGTTTTTATACAATATTAAATTAGATGAATTATTCAACATTAGAATTTAGTCTTACAGTCTGAAATGCTTACATCAGGAAAAGATATCAATATTTTGTTTGAAAAAGATTCCAATATTTAATGCAACTGAAACAGTAACATTTTGCACCTATTAATATTTTATAAAATTCACAGACAAGGCTTAAGACTAGCCTCATACCTTTGGCACCTAGACTGCAGCTCTGCACAAGACGTTTGGCCATAGGAGAAATAGTCGTGCCCAATGGTCAAGCCTTGTTTCTCTCAAGGTTTTTTAATTCTTCACCTTCGTCAATTGTTGAAGTTTTTTCCTTGCCGCTGTCGCCACTGGCTTGCATTGTTCGGGACCCGTGGAGCTGCGCATCAATGGATTTGCTCTTCAGTGTTTGAACTCTCAGCAGTGAATTTTAAACCACACTGAACTGAACTAAACTGAATGCAAACTCTGAAAACTGAACTGACAGTTTCAATTTACTATTATCATCTATGTGAAGCTGGACCAAGGCTTTACTTGATCAACAGTGTTATAAAAAAAGTTTACATCATGAAATATCATTAAAATTTAAAAATGTTTATTAAAATATAATGGTTTCTGTGGGGTGGCGCGGTGGTGCAGTAGGTAGCTCTGTCACCTCACAGCAAGAAGGCTGCGGGATGGAGCCTCGGCTGGGTCAGTTGGCATTTCTGTGTGGAGTTTACATGTTCTCCCCATGTTCCCGTTGGTTTTCTCCAGGTGCTCCAGTTTCCCCCACAGTCCAAAGACATGCAGTACAGGTAAATTGGGTAAGCTAAATTGGCTGCAGTGTATGAGTGTGAATGAGAGTGTATGTGTGTACTTGTGAAGGGTTGCAGCTGAAAGGACATCCACTGTGTAAAACATTTGCTAGATAAGTTGGTGGTTCATTCCGCTGTGGTGACCCCTGATGAGTAAAGGGACGACGCCAAAAAGAAAATAAATGAATGAATGAATTGTTCCTGTACTTGCCAAGCGGATTACACGTTTTAACGCAGCGGATGCCCTTCCAGCTGCAACTCATTTCTGGGAAACATCCATGCACACACACTCATTCACACACACACTTATACACTACGGACAATTTAGCCTACCCATTTAACCTGTACTGCATGTCTTTGGACTTGTGGGGGAAACTAGGGCACGAGGAGGAAACCCAAGCGAATGCAGGGAGAACATGCAAACTCCACACAGAAACGCCAACTGACCCAGCCGAGGCTCAAAACAGCGACCCAGCGACCTTCTTGCTGTGAGGCGACAGCACTACTAATTATTATTTTCGTATTTGTTTATTATTTAAGTTAAGCATTCCTTAACAGTCTCAAATTTTTACAAGCAATGTGCACCGATATGATTTTCAGTAATACTTAAATGAAAAAAAATATATAAACTGTGTAATACTTCCTCAATAGTGTAATCCACACATTCATTTTATATGAAGCTAAATGTAATTTTTTCATTCTGATCTAACTGCTTATAGTGCAAAAAATCTAAATCATATATGAATAAGAAAGATATTTAAATCAACTGCAGAGTGACAACAGCCTTCTTTAACATTGTTACGTCAGTGCTAGGCAGCCTTGAGTTGAAGCACAGGGCTGGAAAATAGCTTATCAAGTTAAATGGAGTATGATGTTGCTGATGGATGAATGGACTCTCGCCAGAGGCTCTGAAGAAAGAAAGCTTATAGACACTGGAGATACTAAATGCATCATAGCCTGATAACCACTCTCTGCTTTGAGCTTTTATGGTAATAGGACACTTGGTTATAGGACACAATCAGTAGGCAGTCTGATCATTATACTCTTTACGTCTTCGTTTTTGACTGGCAAAGGAAACATGAAGGCAATAAAATCACATGACCTTTTCGTGGCTGAACACATCTGAGTTCACATACACAATCTCAGTCACATATGTTTGTGATATATTCAATCTGTAGTCTGTTTACGGTTCGTAAAAGTTAATTCCATGATTGATGACTGTGAACAGTCTACCTACTTTTATTGCACGGCATTGAATGCAACAATAAACAATAGCACTTTTATCACTATGAGACACTCTTCTGTATTTATACAGCTGTATTCATTGTTATTTAAACTAATAATTTGTAGCTGGAGAATCGTCAGCTGACCAATATTTGAGTGTTTTTCTCAAGAGTTGTACTTTACTAAGTAGGTTTAAAAATGAAAAAGCAGTTTTAAAAATTATTACGGTATTCTATTACTATTTTTGTGCTATATCAGTACATTTACACCACTATTTATCAAAAAATACTTTATTTTTATTGTCTACTGTGATTGGCTAAGTAATATTATTCGTACCATAAGTACGATAATCAAAACGCTCACAGAAAAATCACACCAGACAGACCAACTTCATAACATTATACGGACACTTTATAAAAGCTTAAACATGTACAGTGTGAAAGTATTAAACTAAGTGTCCAATACTCCAATTGTATGATGACTGAAATCCCTAGTTGGCTTTATACAATAGCTTAATTCAATACAGAATGTTACGTTTTCAAACACATGCACAAACATGCATGTATTCTACCAACTTAAACAAAGTTTGTCACTTTGCGCAAGCAGCTGGACACACTCAAAAAAAGATTTTTTGCTGCTTGTTCAAACTACTTATTTAACATGAGCTGAATCAACATAATTCTTGAGTTATTTGGGGGACAACTCAATTGTTTTTGGGACCTATCAATCACCCGGCGCAATAGGGTGCAAGATAGGTTTGGTGCGATTTGTTGCTATTTTCAGACTAAAGCAACCCTAATTTTCCTGCTTTGTGACACTTTGTTTAAATAGCTTATCCATTTGTGCTGCTCTGTGGACTTGGGTGTGCTGGTCTAGAAAAGGAGGTGTGTGAAGGCACACTGTTGGCACATTGCTATTTTGAGGAACTAGACTGTGCAACTGACTAGCTAAAAGCTGGTCAAATGTCAAGCGCAGAGCGCGTTGGTTGTACGCCTTAAATGCGTTCACATTGCTTAATACACACAAGATGTACAGCACAATACGCAAATAGCTTTACAAATGGAAAACAATTAAAGGATTAAAATATTTTAAAAAGTATTATTTTCAACATAAATATAAAAACAACTGCCTTCATGTCAGGGAATGAACGGCCAACTTATCTGGCACGTTTTTACACAGCGGATGCCCTTTCAGCTGCAACCCATCTCTGGGAAACGTCCACACACACTTATACACCATGGACAATTTAGCCTACCCAATTCACCTGTACTGCATGTCTTTGGTCTGTGGGGGAAACCGGAGCACCCGGAGGAAACCCACGCGAAAGCAGGGAGAACATGCAAACTGCACACAGAAACGCCAACTGACCCAACCGAGGCTCTAACCAGCGACCTTCTTCCTGTGAGGTGACAGCACTACCTACTGCGCCACTGCAACGGCCCTTTTTTCAGTTTATTTATGACAATTTGCTTTTGTATAATGTTATTATTATTCGCAGTGTTATTAAATGCATATTTGTATTTGTTTTAATAAAAACAAGCTTAGATTTGTCCACCTGATGGGTTTTGGAGACGCATGTATCAATATATGGGGCATAAGAAGGTGTGTACTAAGATTTTTGACCACACTTCATTATTATTGTTCATTTATTTGTTTGCTAAAAATTAGAACTGAATTTAGAAATAGTTTTGAAACAAATCTTTGCGCTTAACAAACAAAATTAAACATGTAGGCTAATGTAGGTCTTCAGTAGAGTGCGTACAAAATTTCTTCTTTATCCACAAAAGTATAGGAGTAAAGTAAAGAGTAAAACAATAGACTTGTTCTTTTTTCTCGCTGTAGATGGTCTGTTTAACTTGCTAGTAAAGCGTTCACTTTTTCCACTTTCCGCAATGTAAAGGGAATGATGAGGCTCTGATTGGTTTAGCGCTATTTATGCTCAAAACACACCCATAACTCAATAAGAGAATAAGCACAACCCTGTTAGACCATGCACCGCAAAGCAAACTGTATTTTTCCATCCTTAAAATAGCAAAAGTGGACCCCATGCACTTTAGACTTTGCACCTAAATTGTTAAAATAGAGCTCTTTATGTCCAATTCACTTAAATCTGCAAGAAAAACTAAGATAACTTATTTGATTTTTGTTGGGACAACATGAAAATCAGCTAGGCATGGGCAGGTATAAGTTTCTGATGGTATGATAATATTGGATAAAAATACCACAGTTTCAAGAAACATTTATAATATTCTAATACAGTAAACATGTCAGGTTAAATGGTGAAAAAAACTTTTGTCCTCTTAATTAGTTCCAAAAACATATTTCTTTACGACACATAAAAAATACATTAAATAGCCCTTACATATTAGGAACGGTATAACAGAACATTTTAGTGGTAATAGTCCTTGACTTTTCCAAACCGCGGTAAACCTTGAAACTGGTTATTGTCTCATGCCTAAACCCAGCATTTTTTACAGTGCACTCATAGCTTGTTAGTCAGGATTTAAAGTGCACAATAAACATATTGTGACAGCTAGATGTTTGCCTCTAATTACATCGCTCTGTATGCAAATACATCAAGAAGCTACATTTTTAATTTTCATGCTACAAGTTAGAAACAAATTCACAGCATAATACTCATTACTCACTACTCTTGAGTACTTTTAGAGGTACTACTTTTTACTCATATTTTGAGTTGTGTGTAGAACAGATACTTATTTTACTTGCACTACATTTTTTGCCAAGTAATGGCACATTAACATGAGCATGATTTTCCACCACTGCAGATAACACAAGAGCAAGAGAAAAACTAGACTGTCTAAGAGCTGTCAGAGAAGATACTGATCGCTATAAGCTTATGGTCGCCAAGACAGATGAAATATCAGCGCGGATCACAGTGTAAACATGGCAGATCGTTTTATTGCCTTCACCAGAATGGAAGCTTAGAAGAAACTCAAACGGGAGCCATGCTGGGATGTTATCCCTGAGCAAAACTTCCTGGTGTCATTTTAATCAGGATGAGTGATTCAATCCAACAGTTCTTGCTCACATTTTTCCAAGCTCTAAATGTGACTTATGTTGTGCACAATACTGAGTTTTGCATTACTGCCATGTTCCTCCTTCAGTGTCATTATTCAAACCTTTGAACAGTCGCCATGCATTTTATGGTTTCAAATGTTATTGGCACAACTTAATAAAGGTGTAATATGGCTTTAGTTCATAATAAGATATTACTACAAAATTAGCAAGAAGTTAATGATTTAATTTAACAGGGATCCATTAATGTAGTCAAAAGACACAGTAAAAGCAATGTTCATACAAAGCATGAAGCTGATTAATCAGTTCTTGTCACGTAACTCGAGGTTTTTAAATGGGACTTGTGGTTTTCAACTTGCACACGTGCAAAAGTCAAGATATGTGAACTGCCCCAAGCAGCTACACTTCTCTTTAACATTCAGAAGATACCTTGACACCCAATCCTGGACAAAAATCCAATTTAGCCTGTTTAGGCCGAGTTGGGCTGCAGTGTTTTTTGGCACAGGCGTCCTCCTTGGTGATGAGTGCTGTCATAGAATGCTTTCTATTCAAGTGCTTGAACAAGTTGCAAAAAAACAAACATAAAAACAAGCTGAAGTAGTTTTTTCCCCTTTTATTTCCAATTTACTGTATTCTTCATATTCAAGTGGGCGCAGCTATTGGAATCTTATTGTCCCGAGACTGCTGCCTCATTCACTTCTATTCATTTATAGACAATAAACACAGCTTGTTATGCTGCTTGATGTTGCAAACTGATATTTTCTTTTTATGTATATTCATAAACACAGTTGTTTAAAGAGCAAGTACTTTGACCATTTAGTTTTTTCCCAGTGATTTTTCTTATAGGCAACTGAATCTAAATGTTTTGAAAATATCACACAATGAGTGCATTTCTGCATTGCAGAATAAGGTCACTAGACAGTCACAAGACAATGTTTTAAAAATGTATACACTGTCTAATCTGTCTCCTTACCAGTGTTAGGTAAGTTACTTTAAAAAATTATTACAAATTACTGACTACCAATCAAAAAGTATAATCTGATTACATTACTAATTACTTATTGTAAAAAGTAATCATATTACTAACTACTTTACTTTGAAGTTACTTTTAAAACTTCACCTTATAAAATTACCTAAAATACAAAATATTTACTGAAAAAACATTACAATGGGTTGATTACAGCAGCCTGACGTATTCAAAAGACTTAAAGAGTTTGGCCAAAAACTAAAATACTCTCATCATTGACTTGTTCCACACCATTTTTTTTTAAACACAAAAGAAGACATCAAGACACTAACTGAATATCTGTAACCATTGACATCCATGATATAAAGAAGCATATAAATCCATGATATAAAGAAGCACAGCAGTTTTTGGCTGTTCTGTGTTTGTCTGAGGTAATCAGTCAACCCAAGCCAACCCCATACAAAATATGAAGCTGATCAATCAGTTCTGGTCAGGTGACTCATGGTTTTCAACTGGGACTCGTGGTTTGAACTGCCCCAAGCAGCTACACTTCTCTTCACATTCAAAAGATACCTTCACTCCCGATCCTGCACAAAAATCCAATTTAGCCTGTTTAGGCCGAGTTGCGCCGCAGTGTTTTTTGGCATAGGTGTCCTCCTTGGTGATGGGTGCTGTCATAGAATGCTTTCTATTCAAGTGCTTGAACAAGTTGCTAGTCGCGTTAAAAACAGTTGACAGTTCTTTAGAGACTGGACATAGATGGTATTTCACAGATGGTATTCCATAGATGGTATTTTTGTTTTTATGCTCAATGAAATCTAATTAATGTCTGTATTTCCACTTGAAGAAGCACTCTTGTAAGCAGCCATTTCAGCTCACATTCTTCAGCAATTTAAAATGCATGCTTATTGACTGATGTTGCAGTGGGAATGCGTGATTTAAAGGAAGCATTTTTGCTTCTAAAACTATATTTTTAACGCAAGTAAGACAATAACATTGACTTAAGTAATTGTAAGTAACTGTAACCAATTTACACAAATTTCAAACGTAATTCATTACATTACTGCATTGCTCAAAAATGTAATTATAATACAGCACAACTCTGCTTCTTACAATAACCCTATCCCTAAACCCAACCTCACAGAAGACAACCTGCATTTCTACATTTATTTTTATTCCTAAGATCTGTAATGGGGACCAAATCTCAGGGAAAATCAGATGCAAACACTCCAGAGAAAGCGAGTTTTCATGTTTCACGGGGACTTTCCACAAATTTTTATAACAATTATTACACTGTACACAGCCCTTACAGAAAATATCTAACAAAACGAGTAAATGGAAAGTAATTGTAACTATTTTTGGCTTTTATTTCTACTTCGAAAAAATATATTTAAGTGGCCAAAAAATGTAATCATGCACTGATAAGTACATTCAACACTATCTACTGCAGCAAGCCTAGTCTTTACAACACAATAACCACCTGAACTACACAACAACGAAGACACACTAACAATACACTCTACCTTTGCATGGTGAGAGCCAGATTGAAGTTGGCAGACTTGATCTTGTTTTGGGCCTCCAGGTGTGTCATCCCGTCTGTGCTGACCCCATCAATGGCCACGATGATATCCCCCTGGATCAGATTGCTGGAGGCCGCCTTGCTCCCCGGTGTAATCTGCCACAAACCAAACAAGCCTTTGAATGAAATCCTGACAGGTCAGCACCTCTGCAAACACATTACCTGGACAAAGCAATCATTTGGTTCTTATTTGTCCGTCGCCGCGTGAAACTGATAACGCAGATGTGATGTATGAATAAAGCCCAACAAAAGAGAAGACCCCGCCATCTGCAGGTGCATGCTTGATACCCTCTTAATAAAATCAGTGGAGGATAAAAACACACACAGATTCTGAATCCATGACAGCTGGATGCACAAAGAGGTCTCAAGCACACATTTGGCGAGCTGCATGCTTAGTGCCAGAACAGATAATGTGTTCCTTCTGCTAAAAATAAGACTGTGATTAGAGAACAAACTTGTGCTCTTGGTCTATAGACTCATGCATATCTGTATGAAGTATAAAATGTGAATAGCTAACTTGATTTCTTCCATCGAAGCTGTAAAAAAAAAACATTTAATTCAGAAATTCAGGGTTGATAACAGGGCTGCACGGTATTGGATACATCTGATATTGTGATATGAATTCAGTTTCACAGGATGGTTTGATTTGCTCTATTTGACAGTTTTATGGGAGGTTTAAAGCCTAGTTCACACTACAGGATTTAAAGCCTGATTTGAACCCGATTTGGAAGTTAACTAGCTCACAGACAGATCGGTCTGTGATCGGGAAAAAATCTGTGGGAGCTCGGTGCTCAGCAGTCTTTATGTGTGAACTACTGAACAACACATCAAAGAGGCTTGATGAAGCTTCGCTGACACCTCGCAGATGGAAATCCAATATCTAGCATGCCGAATATTCCAGAGCAGTCGGCCGACTCGACCCACCTGCGATCAGATGTAGTGACAAGTTGCAGCCAATGAGAGAGCACATTAGCATGAAACGTCTGTGATTGGCCAGAATGGGCATCGGTGCACTCGTTTTATTCTGCGTTAACACGGGCACAATAGGCTATTTTAACAGTGGAACTAGAATTCTGTAACTATTAGAATTACCATACTGCTCATTCTGACTGTTCTTATATAAAACACTATATTGTCACATCACATTTACATTCAAAACTTCCATTAAGATATTAAAATAAGCTCTGAATGTCTGTCATCACATTTTATGACACCATTACCCTAAAAATATTATCTTTTTTGGTAATACAGCCTATAAATATGTAATTAAGACACTAGAACACGCAAAGGTCTGGGCCTCGCTTTCATTTTCACTTTAAAACAGGAGCTATATTGCGGCACAGAATAACCGCACAAATAAATTATTTTGTTTGCTAAGTGCAAAGATTTGTTTCAAAACTATTTCTAAATTCAGTTCTAATTTCCAGCAAACGAATAAATGAACAATAATAACGAAGTGAGGTCAAAATACTGAGTTATTTCCAAATATACCTGCTATGCCACATTTGGTCTAAAACCTGACAAGTGGACAAATCTAAGCTTGTTTTTAATAAAACAAATATAAATATGGATATAATAAATAATACTGCTAATAATAATAACATTATAAAAAAGCAAATTGAATGAACTAAAAAAGCCTCCCGAGACGAAGGATTCAAGGCAGTGGTTTTTAAATTCATGTAGGCTAGAAAATAATATGTTTTGTAATATTTTAATTCTTTATACTTATATCCTATATATATATATCCTTATTATATCACATATATATATATATATATATATATATATATATATATATATACATACATATATATACATACACACATATATATATATACACACATATACATATATATATATATATATATATATATATACATATATATGTAAAGATATTTGCGTATTGCTCTACATCTTGTGTGTAAGCAGTGTGTAAGTGAGGGGCACAACTAACGCGCTCCGCCCCGGACTTTAGACCGGATTTGTTCTGGTCTAAAGAACAGACTATTACAGTTTCTCAAAATAGCAACGCGCCAAAACACGCCTGCTTTTTTAGATTAGAATGCCTATGGGTGCACATATGAGCGCAAATGCATTTGCTATTTAAAAAGCGTGGCGCAACACCTCAAAATGACCCTTGCGCCGAGCTGAAAGTAGCAAATAACAATTGCGTCACGCCTTGCGCCACATTGCGCCGGGTGTATGATAGGGCCCCTAGTGTTAAAGCCACATCTATCCACTTGAACCTTGCAGATGAGTGATTGATCCGCTGAGGCATCAGCTGAATGGCGATGTTTTTAAATGATCCGTTTAAAGCTTGAAACACTGTCAGTGATGTCATCAGCACACAAGCAGCCAATCGTGTTCAGCTTTTTCTGACGACTCCTCCCTCAAAGTTTCATTAGCTGCGGTTTAGTAGCTTGACTGAGCTGTTGACGAACAAGTTGTTGTCAGATTATCTAGTGTTTGACCCCCCTCTTGTGGATCATTTACATAGGCTCATGTAGTGTGAATACTACAGCGATTAAATTACACAAAATCAAGTCATGCAGTGTAAACGGCACAGCGATCTGCTGATGTTTAAATTCATGTAGTGTGAACTAGGCTTAACAGTATTCAGATGCAGAAATTAAATATTAGCAATGCAAAAAATGCTTTTCTTACTTTGCTTTGTCTCAATTGTAGTCTAAAATATCTTAAAAAAAAAAAAGGTTTTAGATAATGTAAAAATATGTTGTTGTTGTTGTTTTTTTCAACTTTAGAATAAGTCAGAAGCTACAGCAAAGCATTTGGCTATACAGTTGAAAAACTGATCAACTAAAAGAGGGTGTCACAGACTGGGAAAGAGTTTGGCAGAACATTTTTATTTCATCTAAAAATCCCAATCCCAACTCATCCACAGTAACTTGTCATAGAACCTACTGTACCCAACTCAAAAGACATCATTTCAATGCCTCCTTTAGTCCTCTCTGTGATAAATGTTTTGACCAGGAACTTGGATCTTTTTTTATATGATGCGGAAATGTGAAAAAGTACAAAAACTTTGGAATGAGGTTTGTGTTATCTTATGTTAAATTATTGAATATCCTGTACCGGTGAATCCCTCCTTTCTATTTACTGAGTGATGACATTTACTGAGTGATGTTAATTCTTACCAAGCTACAAAAAGCTGTTTGGCTGGCTGGCTTAACTTCTGCAAAAAAAAAAAAAAAAAAAAAACTACTAGCCCAACATTGGCTCCACATAATTTAGACACGTACAAGTGGATGGTACAACATCAGGACATTATAATGTTGGAATTATCCACAGCTCAAGTGAACTTGGTACAAATAAGTACATTAAAGATCTGGACTTCAGCTGCTGACAAAATCCCCATGTTTATTGCACAAAACAATGATCAGGATCTAGAATGATTGCCTTATTTTGTAAAATTGATACTTGATACTGTACTTAGTTTTTTGTATTTTGCTTTTGTTAACTTCTATTTTTTGGATACCCCAGTTTAAAGAGACCGCAAGGGAGGGGGTTGGGAGTAGCTGAATTGATATATTTCATTATATTGTTTTTTCAGCCTGTGCTTTGAAAAAAAGAAGAAATAAGTCAAAATTAAGACATTTTTTTTTCTTAAAATAAGCTAAATTATCTGCCAATGTGATTAGTAAAACTGTTTTATTTTTACTTTGAAATGTAGATCTTTGAACTAGGATCAAAAAATGAGGTAAGAAAAACTTTTTTTTGCATAAATCATATAAATAATTATAAATATAATTATAAACACTTAAAAAAAAGGGTTAAACTTTCACTCTATTATGATTAAACTTAGCAGTGAGGTCAACTACGATTCAGTCTCAACATTGCAGATCCTGCAATGTGACTACTACTACTGTTCTGTAAATTGGTTTTAAACAGTGTGTATAATATTGGCATAGTAAAGAGTTTGAGGCCATTTTATTTGTAAAATCTTTTGACCTGTTTTTGTGTTAGGTAAGTAGGGTAGTTCATTGTATTGTCTTTTCTTTCAATTTTGATCATGTAAAGTTAGAGGTTAAAAATAAAGGTATTTTTGTTTGTTTTTTTGGGCTTGTCAGCTCCCGAATTTAAACCCCAATAAAATTTTGATTTCATATTTTCTTTGCGTTGTCTTTCATGTTGTGCACCATCCCTAGACGGTGCATAACAATGTTTTGTAATTTACAAAATAAAAGATCTATCTTTAAATAATTTCAGTTCTATTTTATTGTTATAGAAAAATATATATTTCACAAAACTGCATTAAATTGGACAAAAAAGAATGCAGAGATGCTTTGAAATTAACTGAAAAATTCATCTCAAATAAATGCTGTTCTTATTTTTTTATTTATAGATAAACAAAATATATAATGTTTAAAAAACATTAAAAAAATAATATAAAAAACAATCACTAACCACTCCAACCACTTTCTATTTAAAATTCAATTTCTGTTTGAAATACTGGGCAGCAAGGTGGTGCAGTGGGTAGCACAATTGCCTCGAAGCAAGAAGGTCGCTGGTTCGAGCCTCAGTTGGTTAAGTTGGCATTTCTGTGTGGAGTTTGCATGTTTTCCCCATGCTCACGTGGGCTCTTCCGCGTGTTTCCCCCACAAGTCCAAAGACAAGCAGTATAGGTGAATTGGGTAAGCTAAAATTGTCCGTAGTGTATGTGTGCGAATGAGAGTGTATGGATGTTTCCCAGTGATAGGTTGCAGCTGGAAGGGCATCCGCTGCGTAAAAACATGCTGGATAAGTTGGCTGTTCATTCCGCTGTGGCGACCATAGGTTTAAAAAGGGACTAAGACAAAAAGAAAATGACTGAATGTTTAAAATACATCACAATACTACAGATATTGTAGTAAAGGCATAGATAGAGTAAAAAAAAGTAAAGATAAAGAAAAGAAGGTAGGAAGGTCCAGTTTCCGACTTTGCACACGTAAATAGCACTGTCACTTCTGTACCATAAAACCAGGCTATCGGACACTACACAGAATTGTAAGATATAGACTCTGTTTCTTTTCCTTTAAATCTGGTGTGTTTTTAAATGTGTTCAAGCCAGCAGCATTTGCTTAGCCAAAGTCTCACTG